CGCCAAAACAGAAGCCTCACACTGGAGTTTCCACGCCAAAGACTGACACGCTCGATGATATGGGAGAAAGCGAAGGCCGTTCGATCCTCGACTTTGGCCGAGCTAAGCCAGGCGAAGAAGCCCAGGCCCCAACCATTGTTCTCAGTATACCTATCCAGCCCGGCGAGACAAACAGATATGTCAATTTTATGCGCATGGCTGAGGATCGGTACGGGTGGGATGCTCTTCACCCTCGCCTGGCTGCCAACCGAGACCGCAAGGCTCGTATCGCCGCGGCGGCTGCCTCTCTAGAAAAGGCGGAATCGGGCCGCGAATCTGGTGATGAAATGTCCGTCGATCTCTCCGATGCCGAGGCTAGCAACCCCGACAACGGCGCGACCAGCGGCCCTGATGCTCAGGCTAAGCCCAAGAAGAAGCGTAATTTCAAGGAGGATCAGTACGATGTTGATGATGATTTTGTCGATGATTCAGAGCTCCTATGGGAAGCTCAGGCGGCGGCAAGCCGTGACGGATTCTTTGTCTACTCTGGCCCTCTTGTACCTGAGGTCGAGAAGCCAGCTGCTGGGTATGTATCTTCCTTTTTTGTCTTATGTGATCAAGCAATAACAAGTAATAGCCATGATGGTCCCCCTAAGCGCGGACGGGGTGGAAGAGGTAGCAGAGGTGGTGGAAGAGGTGCGTCGACCAGAGGCGGGGCAGGCAGCGGCCGCGGCGGAGGACCTGGATCTCGAGGTGGCTCTGTCACCCGAAAACCCCGTATCACTAAGCAGGAGAAGGCACAACGGGAGCGCGAGAAGGCTGAGCGCGAAACAATGGCTCAAATGGCCAAGACACCTACCCATGGTGGCTACTCACTAAACCCAACCACGCCATCCTTTGCTGTGAGCGAGTTAGGGGCTTAGGATCCTTCGTCATCTGCTAATGGTCCTCGCCCGCCATATAATCTTGGACGCCGGCGCTAAGCGTAACACTCTTGAAAAGAGAAACAACATTCGAACAAAAGGTGTGCCACACCTACAACTCAGCACACTTAACCTTCTGTCGTCGCGCTATGGCAGTATACACCGCCCACAACTATCAACACTGGGAATCCCGAGTCCTCCCCATTTCTTTCTTTTGTTTTGCAATCTAATCGATTGTTTTGCGGATCATGGATGGTCCGGCATGACCTCCTTATGCGGTTTCCAAATTTGTGGGAGTATTGGTGTGTCAGAGATTTGTTTGTGGGATTACAGGCGTTTACCTGGTTTACATGCTTGCAGAGGGATGGCACATGGGTGGCCCCGGTGATGAAGCAAGAAAAGACCAGAGATGATTGATAATTCGCCCTCAGACAATGGTGGCTTTTGAAAGCAGAATAGCCAGGCAAGGCGTCACGACCATTCGGGCACTTCCCGCAAGAGAGGACTAGTTCAGCGGTATTAGATGTTAGAGTTGGAGTTGAACAATTGTAAAAAGAGGATGGTCTGATGACTATAGCAATAACGAGCCTATATCAAAATTGCGCTTTGCCATATAATTTGCCCTGGCAACCCAGATCCTTTTTAAAACTTGGACTTCTAATAGTGGCTCGTCGTGAACGAGTTTCTGTCATTCATGATCCGAATCCAAATGTATTCTCCGACGTCTCAAGTTTGCGAAGAAACCTGTCACCATCACAACACGCAAATCATTCCAAGCAACTAGCTGCCCGCTTGACAAACCAGAAAGCATCCGCTGTCTCGCTTTTTCTCTTCTGTCCTATGCTCCAGTCCATACAGACAAACAAACGAGAAAGTAGTCCTTCAACCCTTCTTAGAATCCCCATCCCACTCTTTCACCTACTTCCTGCATATACTGCCTACCTCTATCCCAGGAAGCAAACCACTGTCCTTATGCGAGGCTGAACTCGTTGACCTCGCCCATCTCGTTGACGGTTTGTTCGCCGGTCTTGTATGAGGCACGCCACCGCAACTTGGCGCTTGTGACTTTTTGAGCGCGGTTGCCCGCGTGCCAGATCTGCACCTCCTGCGTTATGCCACGATTTTGCTGGGGGGCAAGATCGCGACCAGTCTGAGGCTTGAGTTGAAGTTCGTAGCCCTGAGTTTATGTCAGTTCATGCCATTTCAGCAAACAGGAAGGGTATGCTTACCTTTGTGACGGCGAGCTGGAAGTGAAGTTCGCCGATGGGCTGTGTCACGTTGTTGGAAAAGGCAAAGACGATGTTAATAGCGTTCTCATTGCCAGGTGCTCGTCTGGCTATCATCTCAATCTTCACATTTGTGTTGCTCACAACAGCCTGATGCTCCTTGGGCTTGCTTGGCTCTGGGGGTAAAGCAGAGGAGAAGTTCCACTCGTCATCATCATTTGCTGTAGCAGCGGGTTGTGGTTGAGGGGGCGCAGGAGATGCGCGTTGAGAGTTAAAGTTGCCAGCACCCAGAATAGCGAATGGATCAGAGGCGGGCTGCGATGGGGGAGGAGGCTGCTGCTGAAAGTGAGGCTGAGGTGTCGTCGATTGAGAGACGGGCTGTGAGAAGGAGGCGAATTGTGAAAAGGGGGGAGGAGTTGGAGTTGAAACTTGACCTCGGGTAGAGTTGTCCTGAGTCATGGAAGATAATAACGCAGGCCCAGGAATATCTGGTAAGCATTAGTATAGTGTAGTAATAGGGCATGGGAAGTTTATGTCGGCAACCTACTTTGGTTTGCGCCAAAGCCCAGAGCAATACCGCCGCCTTGCCCGAAACTGCTCGACTCTCCGCCAATATCTAGGCCGAGGAGGTCATTCTCAAGGCCTCCGGCGCTCGCAGAAGGTGCAGCGGCATTGCTTGACTGAGCACCATTACTGCTGGCATCAACATCGAAGTCGATGAGAGACAGCTCGTTCGCTGCGCTTGAAGACGATGCTGTAGCTCCTGCGGCTGAGGGGGGAGGACCACCGGCGGCAACCTTGGCGGCACCCTCTATATCACCCTTCTTCATCAGCTTATACCGCTCTGCTGTTCGATGTATGCTGTCGTTGATCTCAAGCAGCTTGGCGACAGCCTCGTGGTCGTCAGATTCCTCTTCACACATCTTCTGGATCTTGGGCTGGGCGCTCTGTAGGGCAGCAGCCAATTCGCTGAAGACATCACCGTCTTCCATCTTGTCGCCCTCCTTGAAGGAGTCGAGTCGCTCCTCTAGTAACCGCGCCTTAGCCTGGATCTTGGCAACCTCCTCAGCAGCCTTTGCGCGGTAGTCGGTCTTTGACCGTGTATCGTAGCCAGCCATGATCTTCATAAGTCGGTTGGCTTCTTGGAGATCCTCGGGGGTACCGCGACGAATGAGTTCCTGAAGTTTAGCTGATTGCGCCTCTCGCTCTTCCTCTTCCATTTCTTCAGCGGACTTGAGGTTCTACATGATCTGTTCAGTACGGGACACATATCATGCAGAAGGGGACCGACCAACTTACATCACTGGGGTTCAATACAGCAGCATCCTCTCTCCGCACTTCAGGAAAGACGTATCCTTTATAGCTCAGTAATCGGTGCATGTCCCTAATAAATCCTAGATCCTCCTTGTATCGGCTCGTTTCGCATATCGTCCCTCGCCATTCCTCGATCGCCTCGAGGATTTTAGCCTGGACTCGTGTAGGGCGCATTGGCGGCCGTTCGGGAAACCTCCTGACGAGCTCATTGAGGAACTCCTTTGTGCCGATTTGTAGGTGAAAGGGGTATCCGCAGTTTTTAACACATATGTCAAGAAGGCCCAGGGCGAGCAGAGCCACGTTGGGGTTGCGATGATTGATGTAGTTGACGATTGCAGTAGCGGCCTCACGAGGAGCAGTTCCCTTCTTTGAGTTTATAAGGTCGGCGATCTCGAGATTGAGGGCGAGGTTGGGTTCGTAGTTCTCGGGACTGCAGGCAGCCTGGATGAAGCGCTGGAGCTGGGAGGGGGTTCGGCCAGATGATGGCAGATCGCCCCAACGATCGCGAGCCGCCGCGCGTGCAGAAGCGGCTTCCATTGTGAATATGAAATACTGATATGCACACACAAAATGACGATGTTATTCGCGATATTTTGCGTGCGCGCGTCGGTCGAGGGCAACGAGTGCGAGGTAGTGCTACGTTGATAGAAGGGTGAGCTGGTCAACTGGACGGGACCTAGGTAGGTACTAACTAATGGACGGAGTCCAGTACCACCCGACCCTTGGAGTCTGGCGGGGAGCTCCTGTCCTGGTAGCCCAACCAGCCCAGTCAGTGGTCGACCGAATACGGAGCAAGCCTACGTACGGAAACGGCCTGAAAGAACAAACAGGACAAGTAGATACGGCAATTAATGTCACCCGAAACAGAAGCAAAGAGTTTAAGTAGTCAATTTAAAATAAAGGCTCCCCTGCCATATTGCCTTGCTTTGTTATGGTCTTTGAACTTGTATAGGTAAGGTACCTAGACAAGACGATGATATGGCAGGATAGTAGGTGCTCAAGGCCTGTAAAGAAGTAAGATGTGGCTCTGTGGCGCAGTAGTGAAAAAGCTAGCCAATCAGCTAAGTCAAGGAATGGACTATTTAAGTTGACAACGATAAGTCGAGATAGGATGCCAGAATAAACTCATCAGCGAACCACTCCAAACTCTTGCTAATGTACCCCAAGTCTTTATGGAGCTTAAGATCAAAGATCCTTAGGTAGTTTTCTTGCCTCTTGTCCGCAGGCCCATGTTACAGCGGCGTCATAGCGGAGTTGATCCAATGCTGAAGCCTTCAATAGGTAGCCTCCCAAGGGTACAAGTGCTAGGGGACCCCAGCGTTCAGTGCCCTCAGGTTCCATTGCTGCCCCTCACTGACTGACAGAATCAATCAACCCCACCATTGAGAATCTCATCAACCCAATGGATCATTCATAGCTTTTTGGAGGAGGCAAAATTTAATTTCGACGTCCATGCATTACTTGCATTCAAGACATCAACTACACATACACATACACACACACACATACCTTCCGAACAATACCATAGAACATCAAATATTCGCCATAGCCACCCAAAATGGTCCGCCACAAAAAGGATTTCGCCTCCAAGGGTAGAAAGGGAGGCCCAACCCCGCGACGAGGACCCCGCCGTGATGATGATGGCGATGGTTCCTCGCGCCCAGCTTTCAAAGCCGCATGCTGGGATCTCGGTCATTGCGATCCTAAGCGCTGCTCCGGAAAGAAACTCATGAAGCTTGGAATGATGCGCGACCTGCATCTCGGCCAACGCCATAACGGAGTCATCATCACACCCAACGGCAAACATACCGTCTCCCCCGCCGATCGCGAGCTCATGGACCAGTTCGGCGCTGCTGTTGTAGAATGTTCTTGGGCGAGGACGCAGGAGGTTCAGTGGAACAAAGTCGGTGGGAAGTGTGAGCGGTTGTTGCCGTACCTCGTCGCTGCGAATACGGTCAACTATGGCAAGCCCTGGCGCCTGAACTGTGTTGAAGCGCTGGCTGCAGCTTTCTACATCTGTGGTCACTCAGATTGGGCGGAGCAGATTCTTGCCCCATTTTCATACGGACCATCTTTCCTCGAGATCAACCACAGCTTACTCAAGCGATATGCTGCGTGTGCTGATGAGGCCGAGATCAAAAAGACTGAAGAAGAGTGGATGGAGCAACTGGAGAAGGAATACGCCGAGAGTCGAGAGGAAGGAAACGACGATATGTGGACTAGCGGAAATACCAATCGAAGACGTATTCAATCTTCTGACGACGAGGACGAGGACGAGGACGACGAAGAGGATGACAGTGATCAAGAGGAAGAGGGAAGCGTGGACGGTATATATCTTGGCAAGAAGCCCCCTAAAGCTCAGCCAGAAGAAGAAGAGGAGGAGGAAAAGGATCGCTTTGCAATATCTGACGACTCAGATGACGAGGACACAATGGCCGAGATTCGTCGCAAAGTTCTCGCCTCAAAGACCTTCACTAACCCCAACCAACAAGACGACAAGAAGCCTGCCACCATTCCCAACCCACATCAGCACCAGCAGCAGTTCAAGCCTAATACTAGTGTTCAGCCTGACTCAGACAACGAGAGGAGCGGAAGCGAGGATGACGACGACGACGATGAATTTGATAACATCATTGAGGCTACGCCTGTGACTGATCGTATTGGTTTGGCCAAGTTGGAAAAGGAGCGTAATCAGGCTACTATTACGACGAGGACGTTCTCATCCAACGCTGTGGGGGCGCCATCTCGAAGTTGAGCAGAACATAACCACACAAAAATCGTATAACTCTAGCCAACATTACTTATCCGCCAACTCAAAGAATGGGGTCATGCAATTGTAACTTTCGATATTGAAACACTCAAATTTGGTATATCGTCCCTCTATCCAACACCCAAATCTTGGTTGGCATGCTCTTTCGTCATAAGACCATGTCTGTATATGCATCTATTCATACACAACTCCCTTTCTTAGAGAGCGATCACCTTTTGATTTCCACCTTTTGTACATATTTTATTTTACAGTTCTGTTGTTACAGTGTTCGCCTTTCCTTGATTACCTCGTAAGTCTGGATCTGATCGTCGATTTGTAGCTCCTGGAAGTCTTCGAGACCGATACCACACTCGGTACCCTTACCCATCTCCATGACATCCTTTTTGACGTGCTTGAGTGTGTCGATTTTACCTGTGGATTAAGTTAGCATCAGGAGTAAAGAGACAGGCAGAATATGTAGAAAGGAGAAAGGCGTAACATACCATCATAGACGACTTCTCCACCACGGATAACCCTAACCATAGACGTCCGCTTGATAGTGCCGTTGCGGATCTTGCAACCGGCGATGTTCTTCTGCACCCTCTTTCTAACGTTGATGCCAAAGACTTGCAACACGTCTGCCTCGCCAAGGACCTTGTGTGTAATAGTATGTGGTAGTAGGTCCGACAGTGCACTCTTGACATCATCGACAACGTGATAAATAACGCTGTGGTCGATGATGCCCACACCTGCCTCTTCGGCACGCTGGCGAATATGAGGAAGGATAGGCATGTTGAAGTTGACGATAATACTCTTGGATGCAGCGGCGTGATCAACGTCATATTCGGAAATTGCGCCGACACCAGATCGTAAGAGCTTGGATTGGACTTCGTTGTTTCCGAGTTCCTGGACAGTGCCACAGACAGCCTCCACGGACCCAGCGACATCAGCTTTGACAATGAAGTTCTGGTAGATGATACCGGGCTCGGTCTTCGCAGGCTCTGCTTCAGTGCCCTCAGCTTCTGCAGCAGCGGCGGCCTCCTCAGCGGCCTCCTTCTCACGCTGACGCTGCTCTTGTTCGGCTAGTTGCTTGGAGCTCTCCAGTCTCTCAGCCATTTCCTCACGGTACTCGATAGCTGTCCTAGCTTTGCCCTCATCAGGCGCCTGGAGAACTTGTTCTCCAGCATCAGGCAGCTCGCGCCAGCCAAGGATCTGGACAGGAGTTCCAGGGGGTGCCTCAGGGATCTCGACACCGGCTTCGTTTCGAAGACCACGAATCTTGGCCCATGATTTGCCGGCCACGATAATATCACCGAGACGTAGAGTTCCTCGTTTGACAAGCACCGTGGCGGTCTTGCCAGTCTGCTTGATGCTAGATTCTAGAACCCAACCCTCAGCCATGCCATCTGCTTCAGCGCGGACATCGAGGATTTCAGACAAGGTGACGATGTTCTCTTCGAGGTCTTGCATGCCCTTACCCGTCTTGCCGCTTACAGGTACCACCTGGACATCACCGCCATAGTCTTCAATTTCAACGCCATGGCGCGCAAGATCAGCTTTGACTTGGTCCACTCGAGCGTCTTCCTTATCAATCTTGTTTATTGCCACGATGATAGGAACCTTGGCAGCCGTAGCGTGCTTCAGTGCCTCTAAAGTCTGTGGCATAACACTGTCGTCAGCAGCCACGACCAGCACCACAATATCCGTGACATTGGCGCCTCGCTGACGCATAGACAAGAACGCAGCGTGACCTGGTGTATCAAGGAAGGTAATCTGCTTGCCCGATGACATTTGTACGACAAAGGCACCGATGTGTTGTGTGATGCCACCGTGCTCCTGAGCAGCAATCGAAGACTTGCGTAGCCAATCCAAAAGAGTAGTCTTTCCGTGATCAACATGGCCCATAATGGTGACAACAGGAGGCCTGCTTGGCAATACTGACGGATCTTCGGGCGCCGGCCGAGGTTGTAGGTCGCGCTGAGAGCCAGTGTCCACTGTGGGATCATAGCCGTACTCCTGAGCGACAAGGGCTGCCGTATCACCAGTCATGATGGTTTCCTCTGTAAGGTCCTCGAATCCCATGGACTCCAGATCACGTAAAAAGTCGGCTATACGGATCTGGAGAGCACCGGCCAAGTTGGAGATGCTAATGTACTCGGGGAGAAAGATGGGTACGGGAGCAGCTTCTGCAGCTTCCTCGAGGCGTTTTCTCGCTTCTTTCTCAGCCTTCTTACGTTGTCTAGCTTCCCAGCGTCGAATTGAATCTTCGTCAAAGTCATCGTCTTCAGCCTCGTTCCGACGAACATTCTTGGGGCGCTTGTCCTTCTTGTCTCTCCGCTTATCAGACACATCGTCTTCCTCCATCTCGAAACGTGACCTGCGCCTTATTTGATCTTCCTGCGACTGTTGAGCACCTCGTAACGTACCATCTGCCCCCTGAAGCGCATCCAAGTACTGGCCGCTGGGGCCAGGCCTGCTACGAATATTTGTGACCCGACTTTCAAGTGCGTCCCAGAAACCGGCCTCCCCGCGGCCTGGCTTTTCTTCCAGCCTGCGGGAGCGCTTCAGCTGGCCCCATACGCTCTCACCATCTTCCTGGCCTGTCGCTGGTGCGACGTTTTGCGATTTTTTCTTGTTTTGGCTCTCCGCAGGTTTCGCCTCCGTTTTTCTGCTGGTGAGGGGTATTTGAGTATCAACCTTTCGAGCGCTGAAGGCTCCCCAAGCGGGTGCAGCCGGCTTGGGATGCTCATTAGCAGACCATGACTTGGGCGTTGCCACTGGAGCCGGTATGCGATCTGTCCTGAAAGCTTCAGCAAGAATTGAGCTTGACAACAGGTTTGATGGGGGCATTGTTGGCTTTGCGTCCCGCTGTTGCTGTTGCTGTTGCTGTTGCTGTTGTCTGGAATGGCTGTTGCCGTTGTTCGATCGGTTTGGTTGCTGTTTGTCTCTCGCTTGAGGTGTATTCTTCGTCTGGCTTTGGTTTGGATTTGCGTTCTTGGGGCCTGATGGCTTCTTGACGTTGGTTTGTACAGGTGGCGGGGTGGGGGCAGTCTCGACCTTGGGAGGAGGTTTCTTCAAAGGCAATCCCATCTTTTTGCGAGCTTCTAGCTCATGAGGAAGCAAGTCAACGCTTTGCTTCGAAGCATCTGGTGACGGTTTGTTCGCAAATGCCCCGAAAGACCCCAATCCAGCTCCAAACCCTCCAGGAAAACCACCACCTGGGAAGCCTCCCGGCTTGCCATTATCGTTCGGTCCGTGGAGTATAGAGCTCGTCGACAAGGCGCGCACACCCGATAATCGTAGATAGTGACACGGAGATGGCCGAGTGGCTCTAACTGATGTTATTGTGGCTCCGACGCTGGATACATGGCGATCTCTGGGCTGCGAATCCCTAGGCGAGAGTTTGTGACGGCAGAATGCACATACGTAGGAATTACCGCGCTTCTGGACATTGTGTGAGACGTTTGCAAATAGTGACCGATCGTCGAGAACTAACCTGTAAAGTGCGCACTCTCAACATTGCCGCGACGGGGAATTGGCAGATTTGGAGCGAATCTGCTTCGACATTGGCTTTGCAACCGAATAAGTTGAATGTGCTAATTATAAGTTTCGTCTAAGTTAGAGCAGAAATCCAAACTTAGTGGAGTTCTAGTTGACCACAGTGGGCTACCAACTGCTCCGGGCACCCTCGGCGCCGGGATTGTCCGCCACAGTTAGAGCCCGGATACTGAAAGGACGTCATTTGTCCAATCGACCTATCTTTGGGCTTCAATTAGTGAGCCAAGATGAAGATATAAAATTCCAAAATTTAGGTAGTCGAGGAGAGGGAACTTGGATTTTCTCTGTCAAAGCGGTAAAGCTCCTTTTGGTCATTCCTTTTGATAGTTATTACATCAGACATCTTTTGCAATATCAACTCTATGTCCATGGACCTATCCAGCCAATGAATCTTTTGTGGAACCAAGATTTCGAACATGATTTCTACTCCTTCGAGAACAGATTTCCAACTTACACCTCCCGCCCACTTACATATCTCTGACCACAATATCTAATATCACCCCTTTTATCACCAAAACTCGTCAATCCGCTCAAGAATGGCGCCGAATAAGAGAGGAGGGAAACAGAAATCGACCCAGTTCGTCGACAAAAAGAATGAGGCTCCCCCTTCACCATTCAAGCGGCCCCCTGAGGTCCTTGAGCCCTTCATCAACGCTCTGGACAAGAAGCACGTCTATGTCACACACATTGATAACAAACCTGCCGAGTTCAAACGAAAGATCTTCCTCGTGCCTGTTGGCATGAACATTGTCGTTGTACTTCTCTTTGTTCTTCGCATGTGGTGGATTCTCCCCTGGTATTGGTCGCTCATCATGACTGGTTTGGGCCACGACAACGAAACCACCTGGAACACTGCAGACTCAACGTGGTCCGAGATTGCCTGGGAGATCGGCAAACGTTCTGGGACAATGATGATTGATTTCATCCTATTCATCTTTGTCTGGCCCTGGCCCGTGGAATTTGTCGCTGGAAGAGCCCGTGGTAATCCCTGTCAATGGCGATGGCAAGTCGGCTTCCGCGAACAGGAGATTTATGTCCGTCGAAGCCGAGAATGGGATCAAGCTCTCACTGACATGCTTACGGATGAAGGCTCCAAGAAGATTCTGCTCACATACATCAATCATGCCACGTCTCCTATTCTTCAAGAGCAAAAGACCGGATATCTCTTGATGAATGGCCATTGGGATTTGGATTGGGCACGCATGATACTCGCACATCGCCTGGTGGATAAGAAGGAGATTGCACTTGAGGCCTTCAAGAGCGTGGTTCTTGTCCACCACGCTGACTACGGTTGGATAGTTTATGATGTGCGCGGTAGTGGTGCGTCGAGTGAGGATGAGCGACGTCGACAAGTGTTTGCATTTCGAGACGTGCTCATTGCGCTTGGAAAGGAGGACTTGTTCTATCGCTGGGTTGAGATTGTTCAATTCGAAGCGACACAACCGGGCGGGTTTGGTCCAAAGGAACAAGAGGCAGCGGCCAAGAGAATCAGGGAGCTGTTTGAGAACGAGAACATCGATTTTGATGAACTTTGGAAGAAGAGCGTTGGAGTATAATTTTTAAGAAGAACAGACTTCTTTCATTCACACAACACTTCTTGCTCTTTGACCAATTCCAAAAATATAAACAAAGTAGTCAAAAAGAATTATTATTTTTATTTAACTAACTTACACTTACACGCCCAGCACCCACTCTATAGCGGTGGATCTACTGCGCGCCCTGCTTTCGCTTGGGTACTTCTTTGCTCACACTTATGGCCTCGTCGCTTTCCCTAGGCTGGGCGTCCCCAGACTAGGGGTGCCAGGGGCCATACAGAGTCTCTGAGGGGGGTTTGTAAGGTCCCTTGACGGGTGTGGTTCGAACTCAGGAGCTCTGGGCGTACCCAGAACTCTTGAGTTCGACCACTCCGCCAAGTCACCCCCAGAGGCCCCCCGCTGTTGAAAGAGACTCTGTTGTGATCGTTAATGAAGGTATGGGCTGCGGTGACGATGGTGGGCGCGGGGTCCAGCTGGCAGGCAGCTGGCTGATTCACGCTGAGGTTCCACTGTGGTGAACACAAAGTCAAAATCGCCACACCAGGCAGCAATGTGCATGGCTCAGCAGTGAATGTGTCACATGCTCAAGGGGCAAATGGTAGTTGCGTCCTGATGAATCATATCAAAGTTTGGTGGCAGTGAGCCAAGTGATCAACCGACAATCACTTTGATATATGCCAAATGCCGATTGTGCAATATATGCGCGTAAGGTCGATGCGGTTCAATTTTATTGCAATGCTTGCATAATTGGCAGCCAAAAGTAGTTCCGTCTGATCAAACTGTTGAACAGAGTAACACAAGCGCATGGCATGCGAACCGATCTTCGTCCATATAACGATGTCCAAGCACCCCTGACTTCAGGGGGCGTTGGCTGAGAGGGCTCCCAAGGACGACATTTTATCAACACAATCATGAAATTCCGATGTAGGTTTGTAGTCTGTGAAATATCGTAATTATACACCAATCGGGTGTATCGTCGTCAAATAGAGAGATTTTCGCCGCTGCCTGATTTGGAGTTGATGAGTTGCGTCCGAGTCTGTGAGAAGTAGGGATAAGAACTAAGGGGAACATCTGTGCCTTTGTTAGTGCATGATGGAGGATGTGCAGCCTCGATTGAGCTTCTTGTCCATGCCACGTTAAGGTAGTCATCGAAAGCCAAGGGTATTGTTAGATGACAGGATGAAGTGTAGTTGAAGTGTGCGGTGGAGTTACGTGTCGTGTCTGGCTGACTAACACCACATGTTAGTGCTCAAGGTGGACTTCCACGGTTTCACGTGCGGAGAATCCTAGCAGAGTAGGAGTGCAACAGGACGGGACCGGACATAAAGCGGTGAAACAGGTTTCTATACTTGCTATAGAGCCTCAAAAGGAAGAATTGGACAATGACAGAGAAATGTGCATTGGAGCGAAGCAGAGGAAGGAAGCTGGCTCAGAGCACGAGTTTCATTGGTTACATCCCAATAACGAAGCCAATATACATAAGGTAGTACAGATGGGGAATGCTGACTGGAAAACATCATCCTTGCTGTATCATTGATGAGCTGTTTGGTTGTTTGGTTGGACGAGCACCAGGAAGCCTCTTGAGCTTATGTGGCCGTGTAAGCTGGGCTGATCCTTTAGGCATCCTTTCATTTTCCACCCAATCTTGTAGAGTAAATAGAACATATCTTAGTGAAAGGGAGTTATTATTGAAGCCAAACTACTAACAACTATTCAATGGTACTCGTTAGAAAATGACACAGCTACGTGGTTTTTTCCCCCCTACACTTTAGAGACCTCGTATAAGTTACCTTTCATGCCTCCAACCTTACCGAGGTGGGAGAGACTCATTCCTCTTTTCCGTATACTTAATTAAACCAATCCTCAAAAATCAATTATTATTTGTAAAGTCTTTTGCGTAGAGAGTCTTTATTGTCTGCTGCTTCTCGTTCCTGTGTCCGAGCCACTCACTGTCTCACAAGACGGATCATCGTCGGCTGATGGATGATCTACTACCCCTGCTTTAGCTTCTGAAGCAAAAGAAGCCAGGTCGTATTTATCAGTGTCTTCTGGATGGCATTGGGTCTTCATTTTAAATCAAAAAGGTCAACTAGAGAAAAAGGCGAAAAAAGGGAGAATCAGCCCATATCGATAGCATCAATAGTTGGTCCTATACCCCCATGCAAGGACATTCCGTCCCCCAACGGCTCAGCGATCTATTGGCTCCAACAGCTAATGAGACGCCTGTAACTTGGGGAGCTCATTCACTTATCAAGAGTCGCCCGCGGGCCCCAGTCCCAAACCCCTAAATTCGAACGCGCAACTAGCCCCGTTCAGGCTCAGCCCAGTCAATCAAAGTTCCAGGACGGGACATCCATCAAACTACTAACCTACCCCTTCAACCTCATCTCGACGCCCGAAAAACGACTTTGCTGTCGCCCCCTCTCCTCCACCTCCGTCTCCGTCTTTTCTCTCTCAGCACCAAAACTACCTAATCATCTTTATCTACTCGAAATGTCCTCGGGATTGACGCGACGCCGCGGTGCGGGCGGCGCAGGACCTGCGGCTGAGGGCGATTCCAGCAACGGCACTGCCCCTAGAACGAGCACACCAAGCGCCAGGGACAACGGACCCGAGACGAGCTACGAAAGCACAGAAAATGGCCACAAGATCGCATTCGACCCTCGCGACATCAGTGAGAGCGCCGAGCGGAGCAAGCAGCCAAAGCTCACCCTCATGGAGGAGGTCTTGCTACTTGGCCTCAAGGATAAGCAGGTAGGCTGCCACTCGTGCTCATACACGTGCCCTTTGTCCTCAAGGGAACAACACCTCTGACTCTCAAATGCTCGCAGGGCTACCTCTCTTTCTGGAATGACAACATCTCTTACGCCCTTCGAGGATGCATTGTCATCGAACTGGCCTTCCGTGGTCGCATTGCAATGGAGAAGGATGCTTCAAGACGCCGATTCCCCCTCGCAGACCGCAACATCGAGGTCATAGACGACACCCTTACTGGCGAGGTTCTTCTCGACGAGGCTCTCAAGATGATGAAGCAGAGCGAAAAGATGAGCGTCGCAACCTGGATTGACTTGATGAGCGGTAAATTGCCCTATCCACCATTCTCCCAGTACTCAAGCAATCGTCGCTGACTGCCTTGCCAATAACAGGCGAAACCTGGAACTTGATGAAGATCGGATACCAGCTCAAGCAGGTCCGAGAACGGCTCGCAAAGGGCTTGGTCGATAAGGGCATCCTCCGCACCGAGAAGCGCAATTTCCTCCTTTTCGACATGGCAACTCATCCCGTCGCCGATGGTGGTGCTAAGGAGGAGATCCGCCGCCGGGTTCGCAACATCCTTACCCAACGGACCGTCGTCCTCAATGGTAGCCAATTCCTCCCTGAGTCGCTCGAATTCCGTTATATGCGTAGCATCGCCATGGTTTGCGCCGCCTACGCCGCTAATGTCCTCGAGAACGCCCTCGCATCCCTTGGCCACGAGGCAAGGGAACGGGCTTTTGCGCAGACCGATGATTTACTCGCCGACTACAGCCAATGGCCGTTTGGCAAGAAGGCCACACAGAATGGCATTGGTGCTAACTTGCCTCAACTCATCAACGAGGTGGGTAGTGTTTGATGAATGCGAGAGTTCCATGACTAACAGTAGCTCCAGGAGGTCAACAGCGGCAAGGACAAGGAGCTCCAGCTTGAGGTGGTTGCGGCTTGCTTGAGTGTCTTCACTAGACTTGACTCTCTCCTATAGACGTACTCGTGCAAGCTTCTTGCGTGTCCACCACTGCCGAACGTGACGTTTGGCTACACCTTCGTTCAACTACCCAGCTCCATCCAGGCCAAGCTCTCCCCCTCGAAATCTCTTGCTCCAACTATCCGATCCTAATCCCTCATAAACCCATTCTCACGAAATGACTTTGACGACAACCGTCTCAAGGCTCCCGTCGCCCAACTGAAACCAGAACACGACACACCACCGCTATCATATGGAGCAATTCCAGGGAATTGGAACTTGCCTGCTGCTCAATTGAACAGGTTTGCAGCTGGGTTAAGACATGAAGAACTTGGGAGCTTGGCCAATCGATTAACTCAGCGCAAAGTATTATTTTTGCTGGGCGCTTGAACAAGTGGTGTTGGTGGTAGGACTCACTCCATAACTCACCCAAACTTCTTCTTTTAATGTCCTTTTTATTTTTGACGGGGCTTATCTATTCGTCCTTTTTACTTTTGGGAAACAAAAAAGGAGGTGGACGGGATGACTATGACTCTGACTCTGACTCTGACTCTGACCATGGCTTTGTCGTGTATGTGTGTGTACTGTCGATGCGTTTCTTGGAAGGCTAGGGAAAGGGGGCGAAATCCATAGGTCGTTTGGTGTGAAAGGTAGCCGTTGTTGTTTTGTCGTCGACTTGGGTCTGGTATCTCCATTGTAATGAAAAAGAAAATGTCACAGACAACCTTCAAGACACCCTGCGAGGGCGTTTGTCTATTATGAAAACTTGGGGCCCCGAGATATTTGCTTTTACATCTGGTGATGGACTTGAAATATTTTTAAGTATGAATGAACGACCTGGATCTACACACACTCAACGCAAGGATACTGCAACTTTTGATTAGACATCATGGGGACTTGCACTACTGGGACTTGGGGCTTGAACCGGCTTGACGGCACCTTCGAGACACGCTCTCTGCTTTCGTATAGTGATGGATTATATCAACTCAGGTAGTACATGCATCGCCGAGCTAAGTCCTGAAGATGTTTTTTCATGCTCCTCTCCTTTTTGCCGACCATAACTCCGCCAGCGCCGTATATCTTGAATAAATCGAAGGGTAAAAACTCAACCAGCTCTTCTCTTCATCTTCATCTTCATCTTCATCCCCATCTTCCACCTCCCCCTCGCCGCGTCACAACTTCTTTAGTTTACTTCTTCTTGCCCCCAACGCCCAGGCTTCCCTCGAAACCAGGACGACTCTTCTTCTTACCTCCGGCGGCTCCACCCTTCTTCTTCTTTTTGCCCGCCTTACCGAGCAGC